GTGTGAGGTCGGGGAGGGGGCACTGAGCCAGCGAGCGGTCAGGCACTGAGGTGGAACAGGGTTTGTGTTGTCAGGAATCAAGGTGGGTTTAATGAGAGATAACAAGGTGTAGAGCTGGATGAACACAGCAGGCCAAGTAGCATCAGAGGAGCAGGAAGGCTGACGTTTCCGGCCTAGACCCTTGTTCAGAAAATGACTTGGTGTTGAATGGGAAGGTGCCTCCCTCTGTTCCTCGAGTGTGTGGTCTGTGACTGACTGAAGGAGATGGTTCCTGCTCAATGAGACTGTTCCTCACTGACTGTTTGGCCAGCTCGGGCTCTGAGAGATGTGGGGGGATTCTATTTCTATTTCTGGGGGAGTTCTTTTGAGCTGTTTATAATATAGACACAATCGCTTAGAGCCAGTCCCTAAGCCGGGACTAGGCCTGATCCCTCACTCTTGGTTTATATTGAGGTGTTTGATGTCAGATCTTTGAACAAAACAATGACTGTCTGGGCTACAATCTGCAGGCCACTTTCTAACGGATCAGAGGCTGGGCGAGGATGATTCACAGCCACAGAACCTTCCAGAATCTTTGTATCAATCCCAGGGCTTGCAGCAGCAGGTCGAAGTGGAAGATGAAGAAAAGCAACTGTTTGCTGCTCTGATGGAGAGACTGGGAGCCAGTACAATCTTCCCAGAGTAAGTAGATTATGTAGACTCTCTCACGGTCATGGGCTGTCACCTGTTGTTATTTTAGGAAAAGTGTGTGTATGCCAGAGGTAGAATGAGGCCAACTGCAGAGGGCTTCCGGGCATATCACAACCACATCCTGTTCAGCATTTTCCTCATTTCTCTTCCTGAAGGTATGTCAAAACCATTGAACCATGAGATGACCTCCTTCAAGCTGCTCATTGCAATGTTCACAGATTCACAGGCGTCTTACAGCACAGGAGGACACCAGTGTACCTGTCCCAGCTCATTAAACGAGTATCATTACCCTGGGTAAATCTCCTGCATTTTCCTCCATCTCCTTACACACCATCTCGATCCAAATGACCATGCAATATCCTCTTATATGCCTCCTTTGAATCTGCCTCCTCCACATTTCCAGGCAGTGCATTCCACACCCTAACTACTCACTGTGTGAAAAAGCTTTTCCTCACATCACATTTGCTCGTTTTGCACATCACTTTAAACCTGTTGCCTCTCATTCTTGTTCCTTTTATGAGCGGGAGCAGCTTCTCCATCTAGGCCAGCTCATGATTTTGAAAAAACCTCTCTCAAACCTCCTCTGCTTCTTCTCTCAAGGAGAACAGTCCCAATTTAGAATCATAGAATTCCTACGATATGTAAGCAGGGCCAGTGAGTCCACACCAACCCTCTGACTAGCATCCCACCCAGACCCAACCCCTGACTCTGTCTCTGTAACCCTGCAATTCTCCATGGCTAACCCACCTAGCTTGTACATCCCTGCACACTATGGGTAGTTTACCATGGCCAATCCACCCAACCTACACATCTTTGGACTGTGGGAGGAAACCCACGCAGACATGGGGAGAACGTGTAAACAGACAGTTTCCCCAAGAGTGGAATCAAACCAGGGTCACACACAAGGGACACTTGCTAGGCCTCAGCTGGAGTCCTGTGTACAGGTGTGGGCACCACATTGTAGGAAATATGTGAACACATTGGAGAGAAAGCAGAAATGATTAACGAGAATCATTTACTGAGAAACCTCAGTGATGCTGATAGAATAATGAAGCTCATGGTGGCCCAGTGGTTAGCACTGCTGCCTCACAGCACCATAGACCTGGGTTCAAAACCATCCTCAGGAATCTGTGTGGAGTTTGTACATTCTCCCCATGACCTACATGTTTCCTCACAAATCTATTGTATAGCACTGTATCAAATGCCTTCCAGAGATCCATGTCAACCACATTAGTAACACTCCACACAGTGGGTCATTCTGTTCCCATGACAAAGCGCTCCAGCCAGGTTGTAAACAAGACTTTCTCTTCAGAAATCATGCTGACAATTCCTGATCAAACCAAAATTTTTCATGTGATGAAAAACTTTATCCCAAATAATTGTTTTCTGAGGTGAATGTTAAGCTTAATTATTTTGAGTGCTACGAGTCTGGACTATGATTTCCTTGTGGAAAGGTTGATGGTTGCAGTAAAGAGTGTGTTAAGGTAAGGGGTGTGGGGTATATCAGAGTGTTACAGTGAGGGGTGTGGGGTATATCAGAGTGTGTTACAGTGAGGGGTGTGGGGTATATCAGAGTGTGTTACAGTG